GGTGGGTATCTTGCCTGCAGAGCTTCTCTGGAAGCTTCAAGCCACTTGCTGCCCACTGTGGCCAGCACGACTACACGTGTGCACTGCAAGCAGGGCTGTCTGTACCTTCCCACCAGCAGAGGCCTGATTTAAGAGCATCTTGAGGGAGCTGGGAGTTTACAACCACTTTTCTGCTCAGTATTTCCTTTGTTGCTGCTTTTTGCTTAGCACGCAGGATGCTTTGAATCTTATCCTCGGGTCTTTGTAACTCTCCCTTTGCATACAGAGGAAACAAAGATGTCTTCGGAAAAGATTGGTGGTGAGCGGACATCTGCAGCTTCTAGCTTGTGAAGGATGCCAAAATCTGTGATTACTTCTAAGGCCCAAGGCCTGTGCTCTAACTTCTTCTCCATGGCTTTATTAAGTGCCTGTGGGCAGAGCTGCCTAGCCCAGGGGCTTCTTGCTTCCCTGATGCTCTGTTTCTTTGTTGCTCGGGCCCCCTCTGCGCCCACTTACTGTGGGATCTCTAGTCAGTTAGGAGCAGGTTTCTAATGCTGCCCCAACACTGCGGCCTAACCCTGCAGTAACTTAACAGTTATCAATAGCCCTAGAGCTGTGCGCAGCTGTTCTCAGAGGAAGCGAAGCTGTAAAAAAGGCAATGCAGCTTTCCCAGCTCCTGAAGCGGGTAGGCTCACTTGGAGAGTGCTCCTCTGACAGCAGACAGACTGCACCCGGTGTTGTGCCAAGTCTCTCTCCATGCGTAAATGTTAGAATGTGTTATAGTTACAGATACAGTAAAAGAAAGATTAAATTGTACAGCTGAGAAACAACAAAGGGAAATAAATGTAGAACAGTATGTGCTGTGTGCTGTAGGTCTACAGTCTTACAATTAGATGAAGATAAGGAATACAAACAGAAAAGGCCACTTGGTTGAATGATTCTCATGTTTTCTAAACACGTGTTATTGCTTCACCTAAATCCGTATATCCTTCTGCTTGTGTTTCCTGCTCTGAGGAAGGTGTTCTAAAAGGAAGGCTTAAGCAGGAAACGTGTGTAGACAGGTTATTTGACACAAACTCTGTATGACTAGCTCGAAGGGACAAAAGATGGTGTTTGGCAAAAGGCAATAGAAAAAGCTAGTGAGTAAGTCCTCCTAAGAAAACTGTGCTGAGTTATTTATACGTAGCACAGTAGTAAGAGCAAGTGATATGGTCTGTGTAGCTGGTGCTTATCCAGAACATGGAGAAGTCCTCTGGTGTGACCAAAAGGTGTTGAGGAGGAAGCAGGAAGTCCTTTTTTTGTATGGCTAGAAAGTGAACTTGCTCTGCTGTGCTCTCATGGAGTTTTCCTTGAGTGAGTCAGTGCGACTGCAGCCCAGCAGAGCTGCAGCTCACAGGGAAGTGCCGTTCCTGGAACTCATCCCCTCAGGTGAAGTAAAATAAATGTAACTCAGCTCTCTTCTCCTGTTTCTGTAGCGTGACAGACTAGCTGGAAAGCTTTACATTTTCTGTGCATCTCTGTTCTCAGAGAAGGATCTGACAGGCAGGAGGTCCTCCTGTTATTGGGGAAAGGCACAGGTAGGGGACATAAAATGGAGGCTTTTCTAAACACAGTTTCTGGGTGTGAATTACAAAACTACTGCTTTTTGTCGTAGCTAATATGCAACTGAGTTACTATTCCTTTGGTGTCATGTACTCTTCAGTGCTCCTACTTAAAGAGAAACTGATCTAGGGGTGGAGAGAGAATTTTGTAAACTTACACTGTTTTTCTCCAGGTCACCAGGTAGCTGATGTCTCCATGTATTTTATAATAAGAATATTGTTATTATTTATTTTATTTTATTATTATTTTGTACGTTTGTTTTCTTTATTTATTTTGTTTTTATATTATTATTATTATTATTGTTATTGTTGTTGTTGTTGTAATTATTATTATTATTATTATTATTATTATTATTATTATTATTATTATTATTATTATTTTGTACGTGTTTGTTTTCTTTCTTTCCTGTTGCTGGTTGCTTCCCTCCCTCCCCCCTTCTGTCTCAGAATCTAAAGCTTGTGTAATAGGTACTTTCCATGCCTTAACTGCACCACTGACCTGTGCTGGACCTACTGCAAATGTGACGACGTCTTCCATATACCAGGTAGCAGATCTCTAACTCGGCGGTGTTTGACACCTGCTCTCACAAAAATGAAATGAAGCAGAAAGAGCTCACTGCAACAATCAGTGGCTCACAGAAAGAAGTATTGAAACAAATATGTGGCTGAAACAAGGCAAGGAAGGGAAATGTTACTTCCTGCTCTGCCACAATCTGATCTTTCTCAAGTTCTCTCCTTCCTCATCTAAACGGGGAATTTTATGCACAGTCATTCCCATTATTAGTGCAAGATTTTTCTTCATGACTAGCAAGAGGCAGTTGAGTTCTACAGGATGGAGACCCTTGCTCTGCCCTATTATCTGCCTGCCAGTTTTGTCAGTTTATGCTGTAATCTATCTGAATTTGCAAAGTAGCACTACGTAATTAAACCAACTGAAATATTTTCCCATTCTTTTACAGTGGCAGCTGGCCAGAGAACTGTCTCCTGAGCAGGGAAGTTTTGCAGCGTTGGAAGTAAAAAATACTCCGATATTCCTTGCATCGCAAGCCTTTGCAGCTTGCTGGGTAAGTGGAGCTGGTGGCTATCTTTGCCTATGCACTGGGAGACAAGATGTGGTTTGATCACCACATACTGAACAAATGATCAAATAAGTTCATTCCTGTCCTCACCCAGATCTTTCTTTGCTTGGTGATTTGGATTTCTCCTACATTTTCATCAAAAGCATTATTTTCTACATCTTGTGATAACAGATTAAAGCTTTAAAGAAGGATTTCCTCTGTGGATTACTGCAGGAAAAAAAATAAATTAAACTCCTTGTGGATGCTCTTTTCTTCCAAGGATTCATGTTTTGATCTCTTTTAGGAATAATGATGCTATTTCACAATGCCCTTCAGGTCCATCTGGAAGAAAATAGGAGACATAGCCTGAATGTGTGTGTTCACATTAATTTTTTTGTACACAGCCGCATTTGTTATGTAAACTATGAAAGACTTCAGATAACATTGCAGTCTAATGAGACTCCTAGCTCTGCAATTGTTAAGAACAAATTTAGCATCAGCTGCTCTGATGCACAGATAAGGTGTGGGAAGAACTGTTCCTCTCCCCCACAGCAGCATGACAACAGCTTCCTCTTACACTGCTGAGAAAACACGATGTGCGCTCTTCTGAGCAGTTCATCAGGCAAAAAGGGAGGAGGAGGTGGAGGGGTGAAAGATAGGACACTGCATTAGCTCTTGGGAGGGAACAATCATTCCGAAAGCCAAACAGAAAACAACAGAGATATTAGGGAAATGAGAATAAAGGCATCCTACAAGAGGAAGGGAAAACAGTGATGAGTCTATGTTCCTTGGTTTGTCAGAAGGTCTCCTTGTGCCCTGTGCTTTAATATAATAAAATGATGAATGTCAGACTCCAACTCCACTGAATACTATTAGCATCCAGCAGAGCAGGCCTCTGGGACTGCCAGTGTGCAGGCTGTTGCTGTTCAGCTTCCCTTCATAGAGAAGTGAGTCCTCCTCCCTGAGGGCTGATACTGCTAGGTAGCTAATTTTCAGACTGGTACAGTTCAAATAATCTTTCCCCAGTATCAAGAGTTAGCAACTGCCTCAAGTAGAGCAATCCCAGTGTGTGGAATGAATTTACTTGTTAATTTATTGATACCTAAGTTCTTAGGTCTTCGCTCCTGAAAAGAAACCCTTGCCTCTAGTCGATCTGGCCGCAGTTGTGTCTCTCCCTGTAACAAACAGTAGTTGTGTAATTGGTGGAGCAGATGAAGTGGAACATCTAATCTGTAGCAGAGATTAGAACTAAAGTACTGTAAGCTGCCAGAGCCATTCTTGCTCACATGCTACCTGGCTCAGTAGTTAGTCAATAATTTATGTACTGCATTATATCATGGCCAGAGCAGTGCAGCATTTGCTTCCTGCAGTCTAGTACTGCCAGGCAGGCTCCAGCCTAGTTTTGAAGCGCAGGTACAGGTTACCTGTTACCAAGCCGCAGCGTTGCTCAGGAGGGACTGGAAGAATCTCACTCCAGGCCTGTGGTTTCCAGACCCATTTACCTACTAGAGGTGAGACCTCTATCTCTCGGAGGTAGCATAACCAGCCTTTTCGTAGCATTATAATACAGCCTTTCTTTGCCTGTGAGCAAGCCCTGCAAACCTTTAACATACAGCTGTCTACAGCTGTCTTTCTACAGCCAAGATCTGCTGTGGTGCCCACGGGGCATCTGAAACTGCTTGGGGGTGCTGTGCTGCAGCAAGTGCCTGGTGAACATACATGGGAAAGTGCATTTTCCACAGCTGATCTTTTGCTGAGTGCCTGTTGCTATACATGGGCTTGGAAATTGATTTTTAAAAATCTATTTATTTATGTATTTGCAATGAATAGCACAGTCAGCACTTTGTCTTTAGTGGTTTGCCTAGGTTCAAGTGGTAAGTGAGCCCAAAATGTTGCCAAGGAAAAACAACCTATTTCAATGTGTTTTAAAGCAAATGGGTTCACCTGGCTGGGTCAATTCCAGCACAGGAATAATAGATTTTGTCGTAAAAAAGCATAAAACTGAATGTTGCAGTGAACCATGGCCGATGCCTGTCTGGGTCTAAGGTCAGAGCTGGTGCTGGATGCTTTGCTGTGGTGTTCAATAAACGTACCCTGAGGGGTTTCAGGTTTGGTATGCTTAACACGAAGCAGCACCAGAGCGACACAACCACCTTTCCCTTCAGGTGCTGACTGAAACGTGACCAGGACCGCTCCTCATCCCCGCTCCAGGCGGTATCCAGCGGTTCTGCCCTCAGCCCCGGGGCCAGCCCCGCCATGCCGGGCCCGCCCCCCCGCACGTCGGCGCCGCGGCCGCGCTGCCTCAGGCCCCTGGCGGCTCCCGGGGCGCGGCCAGGCCCCTCCGCTCCGCTCCGCTCCGCTCCGCTCCGCACCGCGCCTCGGCTGGGCTGGGCTGGGCTCGGGGCGCGCCCCGCGGGCGGCTCAGCCGCCAGGTGGCGGCCGGGAGCGGGCGTTGGCGCCGCAGGCAGCCGGGAGCCAGGGCAGAGAGGCGCGGCGCGGCGGCCGGGGGCTGTCCCTCAGCCCCGGGAACGCCGGAGCGCGGCCGCGGGACCCGAGGCAGGTTCCCGGCGGAGCGGGCGCCGCTTCCCATGCGCCGGAGGCCGCGGCGGTGCCAGCCTCCCGCAGCGCCCTGCGCCTCCTCCGCCCCGCGGCGGCACCACGGGACCTGCGCCGCCGGGGGACGCCGGAGCCCAGAGGTGAGGAGAGGCGAGGCCCGGGGGGGCGAGCCCCGGCCAGGTGGGGCGGCCGCGCTCGGGGTCGCTGCTCCCCGAGGCAGCGCCGGAGGAGAGAGGAGAGAAAGCCCCTTCCCCGCCGCGGGGGGTTTCTGCCGTGGGCCAGCCCTGCCCGCGTGTCCGAGCGCAGCGTGGGGCGCCTTGCCGGGCTCTGCCCCCAATTCACGCCGCGAGGAAGGGGCTGGGGGGGGGCACGGAGCTCGGGGAGGTGATCGAGGAATAAATTCCCTTATGGCTTTGGGTCTTCATCTGTCAGTGTCCGCGCCCCTGTGCGTAGCAGCCCGCGGTGGGCTTCCCGTCAGTTCCTCTCCTTTCTGCCCCCTCGGCACTGTGGCGGGGAGCTGGCAGCAGCGCGCCGCAGGTTAACGTGTGGGGAAAACTGATGGACTTATCCCAAACCTGCTGCCTCGTGCTGTGCACTCCTCGTAACACAAACTGTGCTCCTGCTCTGCTGCTGTCTTTGTGCCCTCTTCAGGACTACGTTCTTATTCCTCCACCTTAGTCTCAAAATAAAGCATTCTTAGCTGTTTAGTCACTTCTTGTGCGGGAGTTTTTCCGTATCTCCTACCAGCAACAGCACCTTTTTCTGTCTGTTTTCATTCTTCCATTTGTTTTTCCTTTCGGTCAAGGGATCAGCAGCACTAAGTGATCCTGGAGACGCCAGCGCAGCGCGGGTTACGCAGCAGCACGCTGACTTCTGCTAGCAGACGTGACAAATCTGAGTAGGCGCATCAATTATGTGAAGAGCCAACACAAGCAGTAGAAATATTTGCAACTCACTGTGTGGCCATCAGTTGATAAATCAGTGTGATTTATTTATTTTTAATCAGAAACTACTATGTAAGTAATTCGTGGTTAGTAGCTTAATACAAGGGTCTAATGCCATGGATGAAATAGTCTCCTAAGGGGTGCTTAATGCTCTGTCAATATGCTGTGCTTGTTTCTTCTGTCATCCTTTCCTGTTCTGTGGTAAGAGGACCAAGACCTGAAAATGGCCCAAAATTTATCTGAGTTCAGTGCTGTTTGTGGAGCTGCCAACGCACTCTAACAACCCGGTCTATCCAGCTGCAGCTTGCCAAATTGGACTTCTTTCTGGCAAATGACTGGAAGTAATCTACTGGTTGATGCAATTTCCACCCATTCAATATTATCAGGGATTTAAAATGAAGCTTGGTATTGCTCAAGCTCATTAGACGGTTGTGATTCTTGGTTTCTCTTCCGTCACTTCTCTCCCAAGGATTCTGGTGGGACAGCAGATCTAGGTAGGCTAGGAAGAGAGAGTGCCTTTTGAGGAGAAAAGTGCTAGAAAATGAGAATATTTAGTAATGCTAGAAGTAGGAGATCAACTGTTTTGAGTTATATATAGAGAGGCCTTTGAAGTGAGTGTAGGAAAGAAGCTTAGGTTATTTGTCCTAACCCTGTCCCAAACAGAGCTTGTCAGGTTTTGTTTTGGAGCAGGGCTAATCCCTGGTCACTCTAACCTGGAACAGTTCCATTGGGACCCAGGGTGTTACTTCTGTTTCATGACTCTGACTCTTGGAAGCACTTGGACTAAGAGGTGTTGCGTGGTGCAGGATTTTTTTTCCTTTCACACTCCATACAACAGGTTCTTTCAGAGCTCCAGCAGATTAATTGCAGAAATTAATTAGGTTGCTGGTATGTAATGATGAGTTTTATGACTGCAGTTCAAAACCTTTGCTCTTGCTGTAGAATAACATGAATAACTGTGCTAGGCAAACCTGCGTTAAACTAGTCCTGAAAACTAAACAAAAATGAACTAAATCATCTGGAAGACTTAGGTTGGCCTGAGAGTTGTGATTCTGTGCAAGGACAGCAGAAAAACAGGTTTTCAGCGTGGCAGTCTGTGATGTTATATCAGATGTGTGATATATTGACAGAGCATTGACAGAGACAGTTGTTGAAAACAGACATGAGGAAACTTCAGCCAGACAGTTGGTGTTAGTTTTTCTTTTTTTTTTTTTTTTTTTGAATTGGTTTATGATCTAAAGTTAAGTGCAGTCCATGTAGAGACTCCTATGGACTCGGAGTTATTCCCTTAGAGAACATTCAGGCTTGATGGTTAAGCACTTAAAAATTCAGAAAACTTGAAAGTCAACCATGCATAAAAATATTAACTTTGTCCCCTGTAGTGCTGTATTATGGTAACAGGCTTCAATTGTAGCAGGCTTTAGTTTTTTTCCAAGTAGGAAAAAAGTAAGAGGAGAAGACTTACTGAATCAGACCAGCTTTGGTGTAGTCAGTGTCCTGGACCTGACGATGTCACTTCTGTCTCTGTAGACAGGCAAAGAATTTTGTAACGCTTAGTTGTGAAACGCTTCCCACGATCACAGTGCTGTGCTCTCCTCTCCCTTACCTAGCTGGAGAACATACTCAGTGAAGAATCTTGTTCTCTTAACCAGGCGCATACACAATTCACTCATCGCTTCATTTCACCTTAGAAATCAGCATAATGTGGTGATAACGCAGTTTGGAGGATGAGACAGGTTAATAAGAAAGTTAATTTGGTTATGAATTTCTGTGGTTTAAATGCGTGACCAGAGGACATGATCGTGCATTGCTAAGCTGTATGAGGTTACGTAGGAGTTGGTTATTGTGTGCTTTGCATTTAAGTAACTCCTGTTGCGTTCAGAATAGTACATTGCACTAGAAAATTCAGTTTAGGTGCATTACATTTTTAGGGAGAATGCATGTCTTTAATTTAAAAGATTAGTTAGGGAGGTGGTAAGCAGATGTAAATAACAAAGACAAAAAATTGCTTAGCAGAGCGATTTGATGGGCGCTGAATTTGGCCTCATGTCTTAGCCTGTATAAAGGGACTGTAGCTGAAACTGCATGCTTCAGAGTTGCCTGATTGTGTTGTTGTGTTCTTTGTGTTAGTTGGCAATAGCAGATATAAATCCTGTAATTTAAAACAACTCGGTTGTCTCCTAGTGGAATGTGCTGTCCCACCCAGTTTTCTCTTGGGGACTTGTGAGTGTCATGTCACACATCTCATTTGTGTAGCTTCTCCCTGCAGGGTTAGGGCATTCCCAGAGCTGGGTCAGTGTTCGGAGCTTTGGTTGCTGTTAAGCAATCAGCGCTTGTCAACACCATCTCCTGACATCCGCGATGTTCTTCCAAATGGCAGTACCAAAGGGCAGATGCGGGGCTGCTTGGCAGGGACTGTGCTTGCACTAGAAATATTCCAGGTCTAATAGGAGCTGGATCTGATCCTTGTGCAGGAGAAGTAGCTTTTCCTGTTGATCGGGTGATGTGTTTGCGAATCGCCAGAAGGTGGGTTTCTGTGACCTGCTGGGCTGCTGATCAAGTCTTACCGGCATCTTTCTCCTTTTCCTCTCTCTCTGAACAAGGTAAGCTGATCACAGGGTATCGGCCAACTGTTAGATTTCCTGAAGGTAAAATTCTCATGCAGATTGCTTTAAGCTTTTTAAAAACAAAGCAAAACAACCACAGAAAAAAACACACAAACAACAGGAAAAAAAAAAAAGGAAAAAAAGCACTGGAATAAAAACATCTATTGGATAGGAACAAAAACAAATGATGTAGCATGTGCCTCCTAGGTTTATTGCTGTGTTTCTTCAAATTGCAGCTCAAGGACTTGCTCATGGGCTATTTCACATCAGTCCTGTACTGCTACTTCTTGGCATCCCACTTCAGTATTTATTTTGGTCCTGGTTTTGGAATTTCCCTTCACAGGAAGATTCCATACTCCTTATATGGAAAAATTGGTTTAAAAAGGGACTTTTTTCCATTGGTTCTGTGGATTCTTTTCTCAGTAAGTATAAGATCCGCTATCTGTTTTCTTTAAAGCTCTGATCCAAGGGCCAATAAAGTCAAGGAAAAGGTTATCAGTATTTTCAATGGCTTTTGGGTCAAGGCATTCCCATGTGGTGTGCTCTTGCCATTGGAAAGAATGTTTTAAAATTGCAGTGGCACTTTAAAGGATCATTTCAGTACATCTTTAAGGCCCATCTGTTGATACACTTGCATTCACATGTAAGGAGCTAAGTCCCCATCTCCAGGTCCTACAAGCAAGCAGCCCTCTGTTTCTCCAGTGGGTGTAGTGCTGTGTCTGAACTGTGATAAACTCTTATTTTCTGATTACCTCTGTAGCTGGTAAGAAATGAATTGGCAGAATGCACGAATGCAACTGTCTTCTTGGGATTCAGCTCCTGTTCCCAACTTGCACGAATCGATCAGTGTGAAGCGTGGATATTTTCAAGTGTCGGTATGACTGCAGTCTTGGAGGTTAGCCCTGCCTAATGTGTGGAGCTCTTCTTCCCTCAAATGTTTTTCCGTATCATCACTTCAGCAGAGCGGTCTGTGAAACAGAAATCAAAATGATAGTTTGTTTCATCAGGAACAGCAAATGTCCTACAACATAATAATTGTGAATTTTGAGGAACACTGAAACAAATTGACAAGGTACAACTTATTTATAAAAGGAGCAGAGAGAAAGGCTTTATCAGCACAGATCCATCCAATGGCTTCGTCTGATTTGGAGGAAGAAATGGCTTCAGAGCTCTGGAAATTCATTTTGCTGGTGAGGTGGTAACGGGTAGCTGGGTCCCGGAGGCTGGCAGCCTGTTAGTGGGCAGTACTGCCTCACGTAGTGTTTGGGAAAGTAGAGATTGGTTTGCCCCAGAATCATGAGGTTGGTTTACAAATCCTGATGCTCTAAAATGAATATATCTGACTTCATGTTTTCTGAGCTCTCCAGACTTTACATTTGCAGTCTTTTCTTTGCCAGCACAAGAGCTAGTAACTTGTTCTTTTAATGGGAGTAGTGCTTGTCATACAGTCAGTTCCCCGAACTGGGGCCTTCAGGGGACTCTCTGGATACAAAATAATCATATTTAAACAGGACTTGGTAGAAGTTCAGTCCTTTACAGAGGAGCAGCAAAAGGCTTATTCACTAATTCTGTGATCCTGTTTCCCTTGTA